AACCTCCGTCAAATAAAAGACTCGGAGTGGTTATGTCATAACCATGTTTCTTGCATGGTGAGGGGTGATGGAACTTAAGTCTACTAACATTTATTAAGTGACCCCTATGGGTATGCCATTATTAAGGAGGTGAGATTGAATTCTAGCACCAAAGCAAGTAAACCAACAACCAAGTACAACCTACTTATCAAAATCTCAGTTTGGGTACTTCTTTCCACCAAACTGGATTTTCCTCAGAACTCCCCATCTCAATAAATATTTCTGGCCCCTAGACAAAATCCAGGTGTCATTCTTGACATCCTGACAATGACATTAAACAATATTTACAGTTTGTAAAAATGGGTGGGTGCAATGAAATTCCCACCAAGTTACCTTAAAAAACTACTTAATGGAAAATTCCCAATAAGGTTCTTAAAAGGGTTGTGCTGTCCTATATCACTAAAAATTTTGCTATTATATATGTTGTATTCATAAAGATAATAAAATAGATGAAATTGTTCATTAAGGGGCTCTACTTTAATTGGAACAGATCTGAGATATCCAGAATGTCTTAAAGAAGACACAAAGCCCAGTCTTTTGGAGTTGAAGTCAGACTACCCCTATTTCCTCAACTACATTTTTTTGCATTGTTTCAAATACACATCTTCAAAATGGTGAGGGTGGGTTCATGACTTTGGTGAGTGGCTGTGTGAAACAGTCTAAATTCTTAAAGGAAAAGATAATTGGAAGTGGCAACTGATATTCTAGTATTGAACTTGAAGCATCTGTAAGTCATATTTTCCCATTCATGTAATCTACTAATTGACTGCTGTATCAGTGAGTAAAATAAAATTTGGTGCTGATAGTACTCCACTAGCTGCACTGTAAATTCTGTCAGGTCAGAGATATTGTCAGTTATGTTTATAGCTGTTTCTTGCAATAGTTGTACCCAACACATAACTTCAAAAAGAACGAAAGAACTCCCATCTCCAAATCATCACCCAGTGTTGTTTATCTTATCTACTAAATAACTGTTAGTCTTGATAAATATATGTATTTATCTTGTCCTGAAAGCAAACACTAGGTTTTCAACTGAGAGGCAGAGTTAGTATTACTTACAGCAATAATCAGATTGGTTCCCCACACCCCATTCTCCCCTTTCAGGGTTGTGTGGTGACAGCCAGATGTCACCCTGCACATATAAAAGGGATTTTTTTTTCACTGAAGAAAGGAACCCTGAAATTATGACTCTGGGAGCTTATATGGGAGCTAGACGGCTGCCACTCCTCTCCCTCTGTGAGTGAGAGAGAGACAGAGAGAGAAATTTGGCTTTCTAACGTCTTACCATTCTTTGGAATGGAAATGGCTCATCTGGGTTTCATTGCCCTTTGAAATATAAACATATAGCTCTAGGGAGATGAATCTCTAAAATCTCTCAGGTGGTTTCTCATTCTCTCAGCCTTGCTATTCAGTTACCTTTAACTTCTAAGGATTCTCTTTTAACTGAGATTCTTTCCTCAGAAAACCCAACCATGAAGAAACATGAAAACACTCATATTGCTTACCAGAAGTCTACAGATTTCTACTCTTCTACCCTGTCTTCACTACCATGCTGTCTTATTTTCTCACCTGGACTGCTGCAATAGCCTTCTCCCCATCTTCCCTCAGCCCATATTGATTTTTCCCCTACCCAACATCTGGAAAGTAATTTTGCAAATGCAAAATGGATTATATCATACTTTAAATGGAACGTAGGTTATGAACTCTCTGATTCAGTTTTTTGGTCTCACTTGCCCCTTTAGCTTGGTTCACCTACCTTGCTTCCCTGCTAGAATAATCACCACTTTCCCAAGGTCCTGATGCCATCATTGCTCATCTCAGCACCACTGTTGGTCTCAGCACCCCCTTGGGGTGAACACAGTGTTCTGCATGGCCACCATCCTGGCCCTTGTTGAGAGACACTGCACTACCAGCTCCCAGTCCTCCTATCAGATCCAGGGAAGCTTTGTCTTCTCTGAAGGCTGCATGGGGCAAGGTGGGGGGTTGGGGGGAGGCAGGTAGAGAGTCACTGACATGTGCAACAGATGTTAACAAATAAGATTCAGGATATCACATGAATCTGCAGATAAATTGATTATTTCTTATTCCAGAGAGAAGAGAATACTCCTCGACTCAGTGACTCCATACAGCCTCTTGGGAAAGGTCTTGTGTGACCAAGAAATTGGAGGTGTTTTCTTTCAAACCTGGGGCCAAATCACTTACATACGTCTTGTATTGACTTTTGTGGTTTTCTTCCCTTACTTATCATTTTTCTTTCCCCTTCTTTCAATTTGAAACCCAAAGGAGATATTGGCAGATAAACTTGTTTCAGACTCTAGGAAATTCAGACTATGACACACTGCTCATTAAAATATTTCATTATTTATCATTTTAATAAGAGAAAACACTGGGATTTTTCACATGGCCTTTATGGTCATGCAAGGCCTGGTGCTTGCTTCTCTTGAGACATTCTTTTCCTTGCTTTCGAAACTCTGTTATGTTGTTGTTGTTGTTGTTATTGTTTTGTTTTTTTTTTGTTTTGTTTTGTTTTTCACTTCATTCATTGTATTAAAGATCTTTAAAACTGCAGGCTTCATATGCACCCGCCCTTTCCCCCCACTCTTACTCTTCCCCTTTGCACTGTAATTTATATTTATCTATCAGGTCTCAGATAAAATATTACTTCTTCATGGTTTCCCTTTTCTTACCAGATCTAGATGAAGTTTCTTTGATGTATGATTATATTTCCCTCTAAATATTTTTCAAAAATTTCTGCTCAGTGTTAAATAATCTGTGATGCAAATATTTGTCGTTTAATATTTGACACCCAGTTCACTCCTCCCACTGTAAATTCTATGAAGGCAGAAATTATGTCTTTTTTTAAAATTTTTCCATTGTAAACACAATGCTACACAGAGTCTGGCAAGTAGTATGCAATTCAATTAATATTTATTGAATAGGTGAACAAATAATTGGATAACTCAAAAAAGCCAAAAACACTTTCCTCACATTTTGAAAAGTGACATGGTTTGACCAGTTGTTTAATTACAAGAGTGCTTGATACACTGTAAAATAAAAAAGCACAAAGATTGACTTATTTCACTCAGCATAACACCCTCCAGTTCCATCCATGTCATTGCAAATGGCAAGATCTCATTCCTTTTGATGGCTGCATAATATCCCATTGTGTATATATACCACCTCTTCTTTATCCATTCATCTGTCGATGGATAAAGTTCTTGGCTCTTTCCACAGTTTGGCTATTGTGGACATTGCTGCTAAAAACATCAGGGTGCATGTACCCCTTCGGATCCCTACATTTGCATCTTTGTGGTAAATACCCAGTAGGGCAATTGCTGGATCATATGGTAGTTCTATTTTCAACTTTTTGAGAAACCTCCATACTGTTTTCCAGAGTGGTTGCACCAGCTTGCATTCCCACCAACAGTGTAGGAGGGTTCCCCTTTCTCCGCATCCCCGCCAACATCTGTCGTTTCCTGACTTGTTAATATTAGCCATTCTGACGGGTGTGAGGTGGTATCTCATTGAGGTTTTGATTTGGATTTCCCTGATGCCGAGTGATGTGGAGCACTTTTTCATGTGTCTGTTGGCCATTTGGATGTCTTCGGAAAAATGTCTGTTCATGTCTTCTGCCCATTTCTTTTTTTTTAAGATTTTATTTATTTATTCATGAAAGACAGAGGGAGGGAGAGAGAGAGAGAAAGAGAGAAGCAGAGGGAGAAGCAGGCTCCCAAGGAGCAGGGAGCCCGATGTGGGACTCGATCCCAGGACCCTGGGATCATGACCTGAGCCGAAGGCAGATGCTTAACCATCTGAGCCACTCAAGCGCCCGTCTTCTGCCCATTTCTTGATTGGATTGTTTGTTCTTTGGGTGTTGAGTTTGATAAGTTCTTTATAGATTTTGGATACTAGCCCTTTATCTGATATGTCATTTGCAAATATTTTCTCCCATTCTGTCGGTTGTCTTTTGGTTTTGTGGACTGTTTCCTTTGCTGTGCAAAAGCTTTTTATCTTGATGAAATCCCAATAGTTCATTTTTGCCCTTGCTTACATGTATCATATGACCTCACTGATATGAGGAATTCTTAATCTCAGGAAACAAACAGGGTTGCTGGAGTGGTGGGGGATGGGAGGGATGGGGTGGATGGGTGATAGACATTGGGGAGGGTATGTGCTATGGTGAGCGCTGTGAATTGTGCAAGGTCACAGATCTGTACCTCTGAAACAAATAATGCAATATATGTTAAGGAAAAAAAAAAGAAGAGAGCAGGAGGGGAAGAATAAAGGGGGGTAAATCGGAGGGGGAGATGAACCATAAGAGACGATGGACTCTGAAAAACAAACTGAGGGTTGTAGAGGGGAGGGGTGTGGGGGGATGGGTTAGCCTGGTGATGGGTATTAAAGAGGGCATGTTCTGCGTAGAGCACTGGGTGTTTTGCACAAACAATGAATCATGGAACACTACATCAAAAACTAATGGTGTAATGTATGGTGATTAACATAACAATAAAAAATTTTTTAAAAAGCACAAAGAAAGTAGAGCTTTTTAAGAATTGTGGCATAAATTGGAGAAAATGTCTGCATAAAGGTCTGTTAATGCTTTAATAATAGAGCTTAATGGGGTAGTAGTCCATTTGTTTCACCATTTCTTAATTAGAAGATAAAGTTTTTCTTTCCAAACGCATTAAAGCAAGAATACATTTATGTATCTGAGCTGAACTTGTGAAAGAAACACACATATATATACATTTAAAATGTGTCTTGACTTTTTTTTCATATGCCAAATCCCAAATTTTTATTCATTCAATTATTGTGAAAAACATAGTGAGTATGCAACAGTTAGGAGTTCGGAAATAATTTTTTCAGGCTAGCAACAAATTTTGTTTGGATTTCAGTTGATTATCAAAAAGAAGAAAGAAAGACAAAATAAGCAACATTAGTGATTAGAGCTTTGGGAAATTGAACATTTAAGAAAAAAAGGTGATTACTTATACTCCAGATTTTGGCTTCTGTTTTCAACTTTGATTTCATTTTGATAGGCAAGTTTCTATCTTGTCTCAGACTCAGCATTTGGATGAGAATGCAGGCATTACTTGGCAGGGCAAATGTTGCTGTAGACAGGAAAATAAATAATTATCATAAAAGTATGTGATTCAATATACAATAGAAAAATAGTTTGGTAGGCAGACTATTAAGATTATCCCCCATGGCATTCACCTTTTTGTAAGCCTGTCTCTTGAATGTACACAAAAACTTAGAGTATGCTATCACCACCACGATTAGATGGGGAGGGGATTTTTCAGATGTAATTAATGTAGCAGATCATCGGACTTTGAGGAAAGAAAAAGGGGATGAGGATGTATCATGAATAATAGATTGGGTCGGATTTAATCAGTCTTTTAAAAGCAGAGATTTTGTTTGTTTCTTTGTTTCTTCTCTTCCCATTTAGTCTAGAGGAAGAAAACAGTCATACTGCAGACTATATAGCGATGTGGCAACTAGAAGCTGAGAGAAGTCTCCAGTAAGTTAACAAGAAAGCAAAGATCTCAGTTATATAATCATAAGGAACTAAACTTGGCAGGTGCCTGGTTGGCTAAGTGGGTAGAGTGCATGACTCTTGATCTTGGAGGTGTGAGTTTGAGCCCCATGTTGGGTATGGAGATCACTAAAAGAATAAATAAACTTAAAAAAAAAAAAAAACAAGAAGGAACTGAATTTAGCTAACAACTTTAAATGAATTTGTATAATGACCTCAGCCCCGAGATGAAAACTGTGACCCCAGCTAACTTCTTGATTACAGCCTTGTGAGATCTGAAGGAAGAACCCAGCTAAGCAGACTCTAGACTCCTGACTATAGAAATTATGAGATAATAATTTAATGTTGTTTTAAGTTCCTAAGTTTATGGTAATTGTTACACATCAATTGAAAACTAATATAAGGAGCACAATCCGTTTTATTTATTTTTTTAAATCTTTTTCCCCACAAGCAAGCAGAATATGTCAATTTTAAGAAATAGTGGCTGCTACCCTCAAGGAACTTACAGTTTAATTTAAAAAAAGTTTTTTTTTAAATAATCAGGATTACACAAAGCCTTGCAGATTAACTTGATGAAGTCCTCCTTAACCACCTACATGATTAAACTGAATTGAACATTGAAAAGTTTAAGTATTTTATAGGAGAAGACAGTCCTCTGATATTATAGACAAATACAGAAATAAGAAATTAGTCCATCATTCTATCTTTCACTCCTTCTTCCCAAATGTCACACATTCTCAAAACCTGAATTCAGGATAATTATGACTGGTGATGAATATGATGTTAACTATTCATCTTGGTCTATGACTAGGCTGCTGAGTATTGAGTTTTTAAACTTTGGATTATTCTTAAGGGGGGGTGGGGGTTAGGGGTATAGCCGTACCTTAAAATATCACATGAGAACTCCCAGAAGGCCCACCCACAAGAAAAGGCCAACTTTTTCACTACTACTCAGCAAAAGGAAACCCACTTTCAACTCATTCATTCTCCTGCAAGCTGTTACATTAACTAGAGAATTATCTGTCAAAGAATTGGTTCCCCCAGTATATGCCATTAATAGTAGTAGGAGTTTAATCATTGCTTCGTCATGTTAATTAGTACTGTTGAACATTCTTGAGGCCGTATTTTGCTGTCCCATCAGGCTATCTCAGATTTATTGCACATTTAATACAAAACATGGGACATACCATATACAGGCAGATCTTTTTTTTTTTCTTTCATCTATTCATAATGTCTGACAGAAGTGGTTAAAGAAGTAAAAGGAAGGGGTGCATGGGTGGCCCAATCGGTTAAGCATCTGACTTCAGCTCAAGTTGTGATCTTAGGGTCCTAGGATGGAGCCCTGAGTTGGGCTCCCCACTCAGCAGGGAGTTTACTTGTCCCTCTCCCTCTTCCTCTGCCCCTGCCCCTGCTCATGCTCTCTCTGTCTTTCAAAATAAATAAATAAATAGATACTTTTTAAAAAGTAAAAGGAAAATTATATGGGGTTGTCATGTCCATAAGGGCCCTAATTTGAGTGAAACAGCACTCCCCCTCCCCTTTGTAATGAACTTTAAAGTAGATGGTTCACCTATGGAAAAGAGCAATACACAATTTTCTTATCAGATTCCATTTACCAGGGCTCAAGACTTGGCTAGTGAAAAGAATGTGGTCTGGATTTCAGGACACATGAGCTAGTCTCATTGGGAGCCCTGGAGAGAAAAAACACCAGGGGCACATCACAGAGGAGGTGATATTTGAATTTATTCCTGAAAGCTAAATAGAAATATGGATGAGAGAGATGGGGAAATCTGTGTATGTCTAGATAAAGAAAAAATATCCAAGCTTTAGGAGATTTGAAAGAGTTAATCACACTCCTGAACGTGGGGAAATGCAAGTAGTTGACTATGGCTAGAACAAAAATTTTTTTTTCGCCCTGGGATAATAGTAAGGTATGATGCAAAAGACATGTAGGAAAGGCATAGTTTGTGCAAATCTGTCATTTGTGATTTATATGTATCAGTGACCATCAGATGTTCTAGATAGTAATTCAGTAGGAGCTGATTTGTATGTAAAAGCAGAATCTCTCCTTGTGGGGAGGTGAAGGAACAGTAAGGAAAGAGAATTCTAAGTATTGGTACCAAGAATCAAAGTGGAAAGATACTTTTTAATGGAATGTAGTAATAGCCACACTAATTGCTCACACCTGAAATTATGATACAGAACATGGAAAAAGATGAACTATCCATGTATGGTATTAGTAGACTCAGTACCAGTGGCACTGGTAGAATAGAATATCATAATCTATATTAACAGCCGCTAGAAAAATTATCACAACATAGAGGAAGAGAAACGTGCTTATTAAATTACAGATTTCTGCTTCACAAATCAGCCTTAGTGAATTAGAATTTGGGGGGATAATTTCAGGAAATCTTATTTTTCACTGTCACCTCAAATGATTTTTTATAATTGCAAACCATAGCTCTATACTACACATTTTATGAAAGATGGAGAGTGTCATGTCTAACAGGTTTACTAGTATTTCCCCAAAGACTAACACATGTTATCTATTCAAACATATTTATTGAGGAAATTGGTGAAATCTGTATCTTCTTATCTAGATTATTTTCAAATTTGCAAAGTTAAGACTGGTAAGAGAAAATAATTTTTTTAAAATTTTTTAAAGATTTTATTTATTTATTTGAGAGAGAGAATGAGATAGAGAGAGAGCATGAGAGGGGGGAGGGTCCGAGGGAGAAGCAGACTCCCTGCTGAGCAGGGAGTCCGATGCGGGACTCGATCCCTGGACTCCAGGATCATGACCTGAGCCAAAGGCAGTCGCTTAACCAACTGAGCCACTCAGGCACCCGAGAAAATAATTTTTTAATGATAGGAGTGTTTGATACGTTTCTGAGAAAAATCATTCTTTCATAGGTAGCCATTTCAAAGACCAATCTGGAGATATTAATAAAAAGTGAAAAATGGATATCCTTTGAATTACTCAATCCACTTACAAGAATGAAACCTAAATGAATAAGTATGAAAATATATAAACATAAGGGTGTCCATTGCATTACTGCCTATAATAGAAAAAAAATCAGTAATAACCTAGATTCCCACTAAGTGTATATTTGGGAAATGAATTATGAAGCATTTATACTTTTGAAACTTAGCAGCTCTTATGAGAGAAATAAATGTAGTCTGATGTAGATAGATAATAACAATATCTATTTTGTGAAAATATTAACGGTGTATATATAACATAATACCATGTATAAAGTGCATTTTTAAAATGTATCTGATCTTTATACTCATAGAAAATACGTGGAAGCTTGCAAATAAAGTTGTCAGTAACAATGAGATAGGAAAAAACCTCAGTTTCCCATCCTGTGTTTGTTTGTTTTATTTTTTTACTCTCACATTACTACCACATTCACAACACTTGTGACACCAGATGCGTGGAGTTTTTCTCCCACCGAGTAATTCTCTGACAGTGGCTGAGTGTCCTGTAATTTAACTCAATCTAACACCATCTACCTAAAGATGGTGTCAGATTCCACAGGGTAAGGGATCAGTCCCATGAAATGACCTACTTCAGATGCCAATCACAAGTACTGTGTCCCAGGTTGCCCTTGCCTCCAACTTCTGTTCAACTTGGCTACAAATTGGAGGTTCCCATAATTCCTTCCTCAGGTTCAATTATTTGCTAGAGTGGCTCACAAAACTTAGGGAAACACTTATGTATACCAGTTTATTAAAAGCTTTGTAAAGGATATAGATGAATATCCAAATGAATAAATACATAAGAAGAAGTCTGAGAGATTCCTGAGTGCAGGAGCTTCTGTGTCTGTGGAGTTGGGGTGCATCACCTTCCTAGTGTGATGCATTTACCAACCTGGAAGCTCTCCAAATATTATACACTTGGGATTTTATGGAGGTTTCCTCACTTAACCATAATCAATTATTTACTCCATTTCTAATGCCTCTCCCCTCTGTAGGGAAGTGGGGGGTGGGGCTGAAAATTCCAAGTTTCTAACAATGGCTTGGTCTTTCTGGTGACCAGCTCCCATCCAGAAGCCATCCAGGAGCCCACTCGGAGTTACTTCATTTGAACAAAAGACACTCCTATCACCCAGCAGATTCCAAGGAATTTAGGAGCTCTGTGTCAGGAACCAGGGTCAAACACCAGATATTAAAACATAAGATATGCTTGGCACTCTCTTACCACTTAGGAAATTACAAAGGTTTCAAGGGATTTGTGCTAGAAACTGGGGGCAGAGACCAAGAAATGTATTTTCTATAATCTCAGTTATTTCTGTAAATGTGATTGGTAGGGGGCAAGTAAAGTATATACCTCTTACTCTTTAGAACTATTTAATTTTCCTATTTTCAACCACATACTGCTTATATAATATCAAATTAATACAGATTTTTAGATGATCTAGACCCACATGTACAGGAATTCTAACATTTTATCTTTGATATCTTCTCAGACATGGACAGATAGTTATGATAAAAACAATTCAATATATAACTTAGAGAAAAAAGTTAGGTAAAAAACAGCATTTTCCCCATATGTGAATACATGTTGTAGTA